AGAAAGAAAGAAAGAAAGAAAGAAAGAAAGAAAGAAAGAAAGAAAGAGAGAAAGAATTAATTGTTACAGCAATGAAATATGGCAAATTCCATATTAAATGATTAAATACTTCCATAACTTGTTGTTTGGAAAATGTTAATATGTTATTTTGGATAATCCTCACTGAAATAAAGAGTGAATATTTTCTTTAACTGTTATGCATTTTATGAATAGGAAGACTTCTGATGAAAAAAAAAGACCCTTTAACACAGGGACATGAATTCAACAGTGTGTTTTCAAAGCCTTGTACAAACAGGATTGGAACTTGCAAATGTTGCAATTAGGTTGCAAATGTTTTGATTATGGTATATAAAGGATGTTTAAACATACTAACTTTATCTTTGTATATGCAATGTTGTTTTCTTTTGTATTTTTTTTCCACAGGACCCATACCATTTATACTCTTCATCTATTTTTTCCTAGACATGTCCTTTCTATGGGTTCTAAATCTCTATCTTATCATATTTGTTAATAATTTAAAAAAAACAACAGTCTGATAACTCCCTATTGGATAAAATAGTGTTTCTTAACCTTGGCAACTTTAAGATGTGTGAACTTCAACTTCCAAAAGAGTTGTAAGAGTTGAAATCTACACAACTTAAAGTTGTCAAGGTTAAAAACATTGTGATAAAGCAACCACACTCTTTTGCTAGCTGCTTGTCTTCCCCATCTTGAAATTTACTTGGAGGACTGAGATGATGAACCTGCAAACCTGCTTGTGGTGTTAGAAATAATCAGCCTCCTGGTGATGGTGGTGTGCTTTTAGGTGGGGGTTTGTAGCCGTAGATTTCTGGAGATTATGGTAAGATTCCTCTGTGGGGCTGAGGTCAAGTTAAAGAGGCTCTTTTGTGCAGCACCAAAGCCACTTATTCATGCATGCTCCTTTAGAAATATGATTCATTTAGGGCACACCAGAATATTTTCACACTCATACAAATATATACAAATTTAATGCCATTTGAACAGAACATTTTTTGTTTCCTAATTTTATTAATTTTGTTTGTGAGAAGGCTAGCTATGTTATGAATAGAATATATCAATAATGTTCTCAGAGAAATGAATGACTCCATTCTGGTAAATGGAACATGAAGATTATTTGATTTCAGCAATCTCTTCTTATCTATTTCTGGGTTTACTTCAGATGTGCACCAGAAACAGAAGTTCTTTGGAGGAGATTTTGTGGTTCAGGAGTTATAGTGGAAGTGGGAGAACACAAAAAGCCCTCTCCTCTCTATTTCACAAATAGATGACTTATATTGTCATGGAAAGTTTAGTATGATATCATTCAGTATTTATCACATAAGCAGCAGCGTGTGCATATGTTTTTCCTGCATACATACTGATACATACACATATATCTAAGTTAAAAGTATTTATTGTGGTGTGGTTGTGTGTGCTTAAATACCATAATTTGTGATATAAAAATGATGCATTTTTCACTCCCAAATGTCTTCTTTTTGGAACGTTCAATATAGTAATCCTACCACTAAGATTTCAATCATATTGTCCAAAAAGTTAATCAAAGAGTTTTTCTGATTAGTATATTGCTAAATTGAATTTATCAAGGGGAAAGAACTACAGTATCTGATATCGTACCCACTCTTGCTTAGACTGGTTTATATTTATGACTCTGAAGATACAAATGAATTCATACTCATTAACTTTAGGCATACCAAGCTGTATTCAGGGGAGTGCTAAAATGACTTCATTTAGTCAAGAAAATAGAAAACAAATATTGAAACACATAAAAGCAAAGCAACATGTGCTACTATTTTAGATAGAAACATAGAAACAATGATAACTGTTGATATTATAATGCCTTAATTAATCTGTTTGCTGATTTCACTGGAAACCTTATAATCATCTTCTTTACAGCCCTTGTTATCTTATGCAAATATTTTTTCCAAGCAAAAACTCCAAAGAAAGAGCTCCTTTTAAATCTGTGTTCAGATTATTTTCCTTCATCTTATGTTATTCAGAAGAAACAACAAAACATCTTTGTCTATGTTACTTTCTTGAAGGTTAAAAAAAAATCTCAAGAATTCAAATACTACTTGAGATTCACATACAGACATGCATAAAAGCCAGACATCCTAATTTTTTTGCTGCATTAAATGCAATGTAACTAAAAATATTCTCACAGCAATTAAGCGGAAGGCAGGAAATCTATATCTCCATCTGGAAAAAGTTAATTACTTAGAAATGTTAATCTGTTATCCTTTAATGAAGTCTAAGGAATTTTTTGGCAGCTTGGTATTATTTACTATTTTCAATTCCAGAGGCAACACAGGGTAAAAAAAATAATGATTCTGTGTCATCATAAAAGTAAATCAGATATTTTGTCATAGATATTTAATTATTGTAATTTTTTTATACTCAAAATTTATTTAAGGGCATAGTAAACTTTCTTATTTTATGTTTCTACTGGAAACTGGTACGTTATTTCATGGGAAAAGTTGATAAATAAGATGTACAGGAACATTATTTGATCGACATGGATTGGCCATGCTTGGCTAAGGACAAGGAAGAAAAGACACAATTATACTTGTATACCATTCTTGACTCTAGCATTTAAGCTAGCATTCATATGAGCTAATAGTGTGCAGCAGCTGCCCAAAAATCTAATGCAGGCCTAGGCTGCATCAACAGAGAGATAGTATCAAGATCATGTGAAATGTTAGTATCACTTTATACTGCACTGGCAAAAGACCACACTTGGAACACCACATCCAGTTTTTGGTCATAACAATAGAAAAAACATGTTAAGACTCTACAAAGAATGTAAAGAGCAACAAAGATAATTAGGGGGCTGGAGGCTAAACTGTATGATGAATGGTTGGGGAAACTGAGAATGTCTAATACAATAAAGTAAAGGATTAAGGGTGACATGATAGCAATCTTTCAATATTTGTGAGGTTGTCACAGAAAGAAGGGGGTCAGCCTATTCTCCAACCTCTGTTATTCTGTATTCTGTCAATAGCAACTCAGCTTAGAGAGAGAGTGCTCTAATTTTAGAAGCTTTCTGGAAGGGAAATGTGGTAATACTCAGAAATATGTCAGTGTGCCTGGTGACAAACAATAACCATTAAATGTTAAAAGAGGGCAGAGATGCCAGATGGTATGCACCTCTTCATATCCGTTTAATCTTGCAGAGTTCTCCATCAAAATTACTGTAGTAGTTGAGCTTTTCTCTGAACACCGGAAAAGCAACATATAAACATTTTTAAAAGACAATTTTAAAATTAAGCCAGGGCATGCATGCTTCTTGTGCAAGCATGCATATGGGTCCTTCCACAGCTGCATTCCTTATTGCTATATTTTTGCTCTAAAGTCTATATTTTCCCACATGCACACACAAGGACATGTACAATGTGTATTTGTGTGCCTGTATGTGTGTGTTGAATAGAATCTTGATGCCAAACACCTGCAGGACATTCCTTTGATGTTTTGTTCCAGTGCCTGAAGGCTGTTGGTGTCTGGACTGGGTGAAACAGGCTAAATCTGAATCCCAAAAAGAGTTGTTGTTTCTCTATCAAGGTACTCTTGACAACTACATGGTTCTTGAAGGATTGGCACTGTCTCTGGAAAGTCCTTGATTTAAGGGCTCCCAGATTCCCAATTACTGCTTCATGGGCAGGCAGAGGCTTTGTTAAGAGACAACACATGTCTGAAACATTATCGGCAGGTTCAATAGTATGTTTTGCACCTGCTTTTTATTTCACAGAACTGTCAAATATTTGCTTAAAAAATGGTTTCAATTTAACATGTTGGAAAGTCCCATGTAAAACTATTCAAGTAAGACAGCTGCTTAGATACTTGATAAATATTTTCAGCTGCTTCCAGCTGAAGAGAGCAGCTGGATCCTATGTATTTCTTCCCCTACACTGATCTAACAGTATAGCAAAGGAAAGGCAAACCGAACCACCAGAGTTCTCACAAACCGGTTCCAAAACTGGTAGATTGCAACATAATTATCTACTCTATCCTTTTTTTATACTTGCAGCCCAACTTTGAAAACAATCTAAAATGTCTGAAATTTCCGAATTTGTTAGAAATTGTGAGAATTCCACATTTTTAAAAAAATTTTGGGCGTAAAGTATTCTGTTCATTAGGAAAATACTGAATTGGTACAATTTGGTTTTTCTCAGTCTTTCATATTCACAATTCCATTTCAACTTCTGTTATCAGTTTCAGCGGGTTAAAATAAATGATACAAAAAAGCTACTAGGATAAAATCATTGATGGGGAGGAGGAAATGCTTTTCCTGTTCTGAATTTTTCACTGTTTTATTTACCTTTATTTCAGTATTTATCAACTGATTATGTACAAATAAAAATATGGATAAAATAACCTAAGCTTAAAAGTTTTTTAAAAAGTTTTA